CTTTCCCTCCTCCTCTGAAACCTACATCTGGACAGGTTAAAATATGAATTTCAAGACAAAGGCCCAATGTTTATTTGAAAATGTGAGGGAGGCAATGTTTTTAGCTGAAGGCCAATCAGAACTATGGAACAAAAACGGAAGGAAATAGAATAAACAGTAAAAGTAGTAAAATAGAAAGATTATAGCAAAGGCATACTGGATAAGAGTGAGGCACTGAATCTGTTATGAATACAATGGAAATACTTCCAACAGTTACTCAACTCTGTGTTAAGCCCTGCGTCTCCTTAGTTAAGGACATACCTGTATTGTCCTGTTAATTTTTTGTTTTCTTCCCTTAAACATGGAAAGCTTTTCCTAGTGTAGTTTTTTCATCATCTCCTTTCCCAAGCCCCAGCAATTTATGAAATGTTTTGAGAGCAGTGGAAGGGAAGACAGCAGCCCTCTCTTGTAAAGCATATTTCCGCCTGTGTTTTAGAAATAGGCTGCCTCTGCCACACTAAACATGGGTTGTGCTAAATCTGGAATTCCTGGGATGGGCTGGAGGAAATGGTGACTCTGCTTGCAAACCAAACACTTAGGATGCAAAGCAGGTTAGGAGGGAATGCTCTTTATCTGACATTTCTATTGCCCTGCTGCTCTGCAGTGACAGCCCTTCACTGCCTTTGCATGGTAAATCCTGTGAACCAGAGCCCCTGAGACTTGCAGGCTCAGGAAGGAGCTCTGCCTGCTTAGGCACTGATGTGCAGTCTTAAATGTGCAGATTTAACATCAGAGGAGCAGAGTCCTTGCTGGGAACCGGTAGTGGCTACATAGCTGATCTTTCTCCAGACATACAAAACCAGCACAAGCTTCAAATGTACGTGAGACCCAAGCCCTACAAAATCTCCTGAAAGCATAAGGAAACAAGAATTGCCAGCTCTATTAAGTGGTAGACTTTACCATAAGGCATTGTTGGACTGAAAGCTTTTCCTTGGGAGATACTCTGATGGGGCGAATTTCCCCATTAAGTATATCCTGATTAAGTGGAATACGCTCTATTGAGCCTGCCATCCTGTGGTTTCAGTGGCTTACCCTCTTCTCTTCATGCTCCTCACTCCTGTCTGAGAATGGTCTCTGGGCCATCCATGTGACTTCTGTGACTTCTCTTGAAATAGATCGTATGGCTGCAAGCAGGCCGGTGTCAGGCCAGTCATAGCTTGATGTGACATATGACCAGGAAAGAAACTCCATTTGATGTGGAACACAGTTTAACTGTGGTCTATTTTAGGAGCTTGGAAACATTTGTTCCACAGAAATATATCCCTGTTCCAGTTACAATGAATCCTCAGCTAGACCAACACTGGGGCACTTGAACAGTCAGTAAAAACAGTCTTGCTGGTTTTCAGTTAATATGATATTGCAGATTGTGAATGGCTGTGGGTGTTTAGGTCTGTGGTTAACTTCAGTGCCTGCTAGATGTTACAGCTACTCTTTTTGTTTTCCCTGTAGCAGATCTACAGAACTGGGCTAACGAAGTGTGCAGCCAAATAAAAGGAACAAAGGTAAAGTCAAAGAAGCTAACGTGTTCTCTCTGATTTATGTTTTCCCCATGGCATTCTTGATACCTCTTCTGAAGCAGGCTCCATGCTAATGTTTGGCTAGAAAGCAAGTTTTGACTTCCTCAAAAAACGCTTGCAGATTTGGCTTTTTCAGTCTGGTTTTCTGTGAATGTGAGGCGTATGAAATCACTGTTCTCAAATAGATTTTGAACCTGTGCTCTCTGGTTTCAGCCAGTTTTAACAGCGGTAAAAGTCTCTGTGATGCTTAAATACTTATGAGGAGGAGGTTAAACATGAGCCCACTGGTTGCTGAACACCTGAGACGGCCTAGGAAAGAGCCTTTCTAAATCCTAAGAGCAGGAACAGCTTAGTTGAGTTTGCACCTTTTTACATACCAGAGGCCTCACAGGGGAGAAACCTGGATTTGGGGCAATGCCAAGAATGTCAGACATGCAAGGCCTTAACCACAGAGCCATCAGATGAAAAAAGTGGTGCTTACTTCTAGTGCTTGCGGAAATCCCTCTTGTCCATTTGACTGTGAAAAAAGTAAGGCATTCCAATAGGTTTTGCTCCAGAACAGCCCCAGATCCCATGCTTGAAACACTTAAACTGGGGGTACAGGTTCAAGTTCATGTGCACTGCCTGCCTCACACCATGGAGGTGGACTGAGGTGTCCCAGAGGAACCCTGTTCACTGCCTGCCTCACACCATGGACATGGACTGAAGTGTCCCAGATGAACTCTCTCCCCACTACGCCATCTAGGAGTTCTGTCAAGCTTGCCTATTGAAAGACTGAAATTCCATTGCAACAACAACAACAAAACCAAACAAAAACAGAGCCCACCTTTTTGAGCAGGCAGTTCTTTTGTCTCATGCAAGTGTTCATGCAAGCTCCTGCATTGGCAGCTGCTCAGATCCTCTGGGACAGAGGAGTGAATCAACAGCAATTAGTGGCTGGGAGCATTTACACTCTCTCCTCCATCTTGGAAGATCTGAACAGCCGCGAGAAATGAAAGGTAGCAGTTCCCAAACACCCATCATTACAGCACCACTGCGTGAACTGAAGGGAACCCTTCAAGTATTTCCCAACCCTTTTTTGTGGAGCTGCAACCAAAAATATAGCTTTACTTTGGCAAGTACTGGCAACATGACGCCATGGGCCTTTGCATTTACTGTCCTAACATTTTCCAGGTTAAAGCAACCTTGCCCATGTGACTTCTTTTTTTTCTAGCCTGTTTTGAGCCCTCTGAATAAACCCTGTTTCTTTCTTCAGTCATTACTGATAATAAAGATTCTACTCCCGATAAGGCCTTCACAGATCAACAGCTCTTCAGACACATAGGTGATCTGGGGGGTTTCCAAACCTTATAAGCAGTTAGGTAGGTCTTATTCATGGTCCATAAGGAACAGCAGAATCCAGTGACTCTACTAGATTTATTAACTCTCAAGTACCTTCTTAATAACTATGGAATAGTCCTCTCCCAAAATCCAATGTTATTTCCCCCACAGGCCACCAGATTTTTTTTCTGAACACTCACTGAGTCCAGCACCACTGGTCACTGTTTCACAGCAGAACGCTACACTTCAACACTCAAATATACCTGTGCTGCTCAACCTCAGCAGCTCCACACTGAGGAAGAACTGAGATCTGCCTGTTCCTTCTTTCTCTATAAAGTAATCTGCTGATCTATCTATTAAACACATTTTTCTTTTGACTTTCTTTCAGGAGCCCCCAAGGGATGCATTTGTTACCGTGAACACCACGAATGCTGCTGTTCCCCAGACCTCTGAAGGTGTGTGTCTCCTGGGCCCCGATGGCTCTCCAGGCTCTGGAAACGTGTGCTGCGCCAGTGGTCACACTCCCTGCAGGAAAGGGAGCCCCGGCATGGCACCGTGCGAGGCAGGAGGGATCCTGACAGAGTTTTCTGTGGTAACTGAGACTGATTATGACCATTTCCCACCAGTTCCCATGGAAGATGAATACACAGATAAGGATCTTAATACCACTGATGATTTATCTTTGCTGAGTCGGACTGCCAGTAAAACTGTGTCATCATTTTCAGAACCGATGGAGGCAGGGGAGAATGACAGCTTAAATCAATACTTTTCAGGGATTGGGAGCACAGAGGATATATCAGTCTCTCAAGGGTCCCACCCTTCCTCCAACATGGATGGGGCACATGTTGCCATGGACAAACTTCTTCAGAAATCTTGCCAATGTGCCCACAGTTGCTTGAAGGAAACGGGCAGTAAAGACACAGATTGTTTTGCAACAAACTGTGACTCAGAGAAGATCTGTGTGAGGTGTGGCATTTCATACAGGGAATATCCCAAAAAGTGGAGCAAACCCTGTTGTGCTGCAGCTGACAGTGCCTCCACCTCCCCAGAAACCGGATCCTGTGCACAGTGTACCTGTGGCTTGAATTTTCTCTCTGCTGGTCAGAGCACTATAGCAAGTGAACACGGTATGGAAGATGCACCTTCGGATAGTACCAACATGAAGTACCAGAACGCAAACAGAAGCACATCAGGGACAAACAGCAGCACGTCAGACCTCCCTCCAGCATCTGGTAAGCCCATTAGGCCTGACCCGTACACAGATGTAGAGGATTATTCTCTGTGCTGGCTCAGTATTATTCAGAGAATCTGATTTAGGAGGAGGAGAGAAGAATAAAATGATGCCTTTTCACTTAATTGCCCTGAAACTAATCTGAAAGATAAAAATGAAATAGCAAGGCCATTTGGTTTGTAGTGAATTCTGCAAATAGCATAAGCACTGTGAGGGACCATTGTCCTGCCCTTGTCTAACCCATCTTCTGGCTGTCACTGCAAAGGCCAGGCAATTCCATTACTGAAGAAGTATTTTGGTGATAGCAGATGTGTGTATTGGAGAAAACTTAAAAGAAGGAGAGTACAAGGACCTAGAGGCTGAGTCAAGAAAGGATGCATAACGCTCAGACAGATGATTTTCCACTCAACAGTCTGCACACACATTTTTGCCACTTGGTTTAAGTTTTATGGTGGTGGAACTCCAGCTGGAGCTATAACCTGGTGGAACAAGTTCATGTTCAATTTTCTGCTTTTAGCTCTTTCTCTTTGATTTAATTTGCTAGGATATAAGTGTTCACCTAAAAATAATTTCATACAAACATTGTTTCTCCATACTCAAATGCTCTGTCCCCTAAAACAACTCTGGAACACTGTCACCAGTTTACTAATTGACTACCAATTTATTAATTGAGTAAATATACCAAAATTGTCAAATGAAAGCAGGGAAAAAAAAAATCACTGAAGCAAAACTAGCAGAAGGGAAGTTATGGGCCTTTTCTGGATGAAACCTTCCTCTCTCAGACTTTTTTTCAGTATAAAAGTCTGCGATCTGCCTGTCATGTGTTATTAGTCATTTTAGATTACAATCTCTTAAAGTCAGATGCTCTGTTTTTATTTATGTCGCTGCAAGGCCAAGCATAATGAGACCTTAGTTTTGACTGGGACATCTAAGTATTACTGTAACATACACAGCAGTTGTAAGCAGTCACCCTTCATTAAAGCCACATCGTGCCTTAAAGTTTCTTACGGAGACATTCTTGTGGGTCTGCCAAAGCCCAAAAGCAACGCTTTTGAAGGCCCTTCCCCTCTCAACATGCTTGCCATGTGGGAATCTGAAAGTGTGTAGCATTCATCTTTCTAAGAGCAGATACTCCTGCTGCTGCTTCAGTTTCCTGAAATCCTGAGACAGTTTCGCTGCCTCATCGGTACCAAATTCAGCAGTAGTAAGGAGAATGCAGATGATCTTTTTTTGTTGTTGTTGGAAGGTGACTGTGAGGTACAACTGAAAGTCAAGTCGTATTTGGCACTGCAGAAGTAGCGCTTTTCTTTCTAAATCTGACACGAAGAGGAAGAGAAAATATTAAGGAACAGCAGGGTGGGCGAACAGGAGAGCTTGGATTTAAGTGACGTGCTAGAAAGTGCCATCTTAGATCTGCAACACAATTCTTTACACGGGATTTGAATTTGCCTGTGCCGTGCTGTACGTACATGCTATAGTGCCATCTGGTGAAACCTGAGCACAGACACAGCCTTCCTAATTTGCCATTTTTTAGGCAGGCCTGCCAGCAGGTACTGACTGAGCTGTGGGCAGTATGAGAGTGCGGGTTAGTTAATCTGTAGGTAACATGGATTGCTGGCAGAGGTTTGTTTTTGGTCCACAGAACGGCCATTTTCCCGCTGGCAACACCTGGTTGCACGAGGGGTGAGACAGGGCTCAGCCGTAGCTTCCACACTGAACCAACCGCCTCAGCCGCGCTGGGGCTGCACGTGGAGCTGCAACCGCATCGGTCATTTTGCTGGGCCTTGTGAAACACCCCTATGGAATAAATGTGCACACAAAATAACTGTCTGTAAAGCTTCTCAAAGCAACTGCAGCCACCAGGCTTTGCACACAGTCATGCTAAGACAGAATGGTATAAAAGAGGGTGGATAAAAAATGGGAAGAAAAAGGCTGTGGGTAATTCTATAAAGTTTTGTTTTTAGTTCCCTAACACTCAGAATGACAACAGCAAATGCAAACTCTGTCCTTCCTGTGAAACAACTCTAGAGGACCAAAATAAACCTCTGGACAGGTGCCACATACAGGGTCACCACCAGAGATGGAGGTAAGCCTTCGAGCACTCTTTCAAACCCCCCAAGAATGGAGGCAGTCAGAACATGAAGCGTTGGTTCGTGACCACCTCAGGTCACATGTAAGGCTACAGCGTAAAGCATGAGTGCAGGAAGACTTAGGTGACTCATGATTAGGAATGGTTTTGCAGAGCCTTTCACTTCCAGATCCCAAACCAGCCCGCTTTGGCGGCAACAAACACTTCTTACCACCTAGAGGCCATTAGATGGCTCAGAGAAAATTAATTGCCTGTGTTGTTACAGTTCTTAGTGAATAATTACCACAAAAATTAATCTGTCATTATAATTAATATCGGCAAGTAGTCTGAAGAGATCAAAAGGCTGAAACGTTGCAGAGAACAATGCCTTCACTTACCCTCTGAAGGCATCCCTTATACTTTCCAGGTTGGAAGCACATCTCTTAGTGCAGACCAGGAACCTCTTGTGTCCATTTTCTGTGCTTTTGGGTTTCAAATATCCTTTTGTTTCAGCACAGTGTCTGTGAAGAAAGCAGTGAAGATTTGCCAGCCGTGTTCAGCTAAACAGTATAAATGTGTGAATCTGCTTTTTTTTTTTTTTTTTTCCCCCTCCCCACTGTCACATAAACTTCTAAATTCTTGATCTGGTACTGAGCACTAGTAAACTCTTACACAGTACCTTTTGCAAGTGACAGTCGATCTGTATAAAGGCAAACAGTTATTTTTGTACTCCCATTATGCCTGACAGTTGTGTTGATGGCAAACAGCCGAACTGAATTGGACACAGGGGAAGCAACCAGCAGGAAATAAACACCCGCAGAGAAAACTCTTATTGACACCTCGTGTGAATCAACAACACTTGGAAAGAAAGCAAAGAGCTAGCAGTGCAGTGGTTTAGCTAAAATAAATAGGATTGTTTGAGTGGGGCTATTAGAGAGATGCTCAAGTGCTACCCAGACTCAGTTATGAGCAGGCACAGGTCCCCACTGAGCACAGCTGGGGCCCAGTGTCCATTGCTGGTGTGCAAACATCACCTGGGGCTGCTAGAAAAACAGCCTTTCTCTGGGCTGGGCCATGCTTCGCTGCAAGGAAAATGGGAACAGCTCAAGTGTTGAGGAACGTAATGAGGAAAGGCACAAAATGTCTAAAAGGTGTCAGATAAGTCTGCAAGTAATGATGAAGGGAAGCACAGCAGGAAAAACTTTTCTTAGGAAGAATGTTCATAGGCTAGGAGTTTTTTTTCTTTTTCACTTGGTTGCTTTGGTTTGTTTAAATTTCAAACTTTAACAAGTTTGTTCGTTTGTTGTTGAAAGTTTGCCCTCAGTTATTTTCTTCCTACCGAGGGAAGTTTATTAATTCTCAGAGCCTGGTCCTGCTGTCACTTGAGTCAGTGACCCAGTTCTTGAACAGCAGAAAGACTGAATTTATACTGAAAAAATCTCTAACTGGAGGCAGAACAACTGAAACTCTAACTCTGTTAGCTGACAGACTCTCTCTTCACTGGAGTCAGGGGATATCCAGGTAAATCCTTGAGGGCACTGGGTGAGTGCTGGAGTGTACCTACAGGGAGGATCAGGACAATATAAGGTAATCATATAAGCTCCATGTCATTTGGACACTGTGTACCTGTATGGTCTGACATTAAGTCTTTCAGTATTTTATTCAATAAGCCTGTTACCTAACCTACACAGTAGGGTTGATTGTTTACCAAGAGGAAAAAGAACCCAAAGAGATGCCTGGGACTCTAAAAAATAAACCCTTATAATTAGAAATAATGACCATTTCCTCACAAAGGGCGGGCAGAGGCAGTTTGGATGCAGCTTGTGCATTGGGCAGCATGTGGAGCATGAGACGGTCGCACTCTTTTTTGCTTCCCGGAGTGCGACCAAGAGAGAAAATGTTTCCAAGCCTTCCAGACAGGCTGTCCATGGATGACAGGCTTTGTCCTGAGGAGGCAGAAATGGAAATAATGAAAAAGTCCAGTGGAAGGCATTGATTATAAGAGCATCCTCGTGTCACGGGTAAAAAAAATAATGGAACAAGAGTAAAGCCACCACAGTGGATGAAGTTCACTGCGCTAAGTGTCCATCTCGTGAGAGGAAAATATTAATCACACGTGTCTTCTTTTCTCCCCCTTTCTTCCCCAGGAAATGTGACTGGAAACAGTAACTCCACCTTTATCTCAAGTGGACAAGTAATGAATTTCAAGGGTGACATCATTGTTGTCTACCTTAGCCAAAACTCCCAGGAGGGGACAACAGCCTCAGGGCCAAGCGAGGAGAACGTGGGCAGCCCTGTGCAGGAGGAGAACCTCAGCCGCTGCGAGACTTTCGCCGGCAACGCCCAGCACTACAAGGAGAAGTGTGCGGAGCTGCAGGGCGCTTGCCCGCTGGCGGGGAGCGGGAGGCCGCAGCGGCGTTCTGCTGGAGCCCTGGCCCAGCAGCGGGGCCCGTCCCGCCACGGCCAGGCCTCGCAGCCCGTGCAGGAGGAGGGGAAGCTGGGACACTTCTCGGAGAAGGTGTTGAACTGAGGCGAGCCAGTGTCCTTGCTGCGGGCCAGGGCGCCGACGGGCAGCCTGCGAGAGGGCGTGAGGCTGCCCCGGGGCTGCCAAAATCCCGGGTGTGGTGGTGGATTTGGAGACTGTTGCTGCCCCAGGGGTTCCCGGGGAATTTTGCAGCTGGAAAGGACCCTTGTGGTGCATGTGCCGGTGGTGATGCTCTCGTTGAGGAGAGGGGACAGGCACAGGCGTGAAGCCGGGCGTGCCTACCCCGTTGCAGAAGCAGTGGCAGGGCTCTCTCCTCTTCCTTGCAGGGCGGCAAAGGAGAGTTGAGGAGATCTCTCCGGCCGGGGACTTTGCGAGGAGGAAGAGCAGCATTGCTGGCCAGGCATGCAGGGTGTTCCCAGAGAGGGGACAACATGGAGGAGGACCACATGGAAAGGGTCCCCTGAGCTCTGCCTATGGGTTTTCTTTTTGCAACTAAGCTGCACCCATTTTGCTGGGTCTTGGGCCTCCTTGATGCCTCTGGTGGTGGAAGGATGCAGAGACCACGTCTGCTGCTGAGCCTAGTGCCACTGCCGACCTTTGCCTCCTCATGGGGATCAGGCAGGTGGCATCAGCCCTTCCCATCTTTCCCCAAGGGAGCAGACTCTCCAGTTTCAAACCAGCACCAGAGCCAAGATCCTGGTGTGTCCCTTACTAACTTGTGGGTATGAATGGGTGTAATGCTGCCCCAAGTGCATGACGACAGGCACAACAGAGCTGGTGTGCCTTAACAAGCACATCAGAGTAACCCTGAGCAAAGAGCATTTGTAGTTTTGGACACTGGTTCATCTCTACCTTCTTGCGCCTCACCAGAGGAATTCAAACCCCTGAAGATGAGAGTGACACGTGCCCGGCACGCTGCTGCATGAATGACATCACTGAAGTTTAAGACATGGAGCTGCTAGCAGGTGGAACAAGGGTGTATGTCAACCAGCTGTGGACATCTCCTGAGTGACAGGAGAGGGAAGGGATTACCCAAAGGTGGAGAACTTGGTCAGGGTCAAACAGATGTTCCTTCATTTGCCCAAACAATTTTGTCATTGCCACTGATATTTTCATTACTAAGCAGGGCTTTATTTAAGTGACCTGAAGCAATTTCCAGAACTTGGCCTGTCTGAGCTGAAATCAGAGTGTAGCTACTGTCAGTCACACTGAGAGCTGATAAGCAATGGGACCAAAGGGTTGGATTTTAATAACAGTAGTTGTAGTTAGAAGGGAGTCTCAGCTACGCTACTCAGTTGGCTTTTGGTCCTGTATCCTGCAGCCTCCTCCAGCAGCCACTGTGGAGAGAGAGGTGAAGGGAACAGAGACTCGAGGAACTCCCAGGAGGAAAAGATAACATTTTTAATGATTTCCTGACAAGGGGTAATTTTCTGACGCTCTCCTGCACTTGTGAGTGCTGCAGGAGGTTATCCTCACTCTGATCCTTCAGGAAGGTCAGTGCTGTGTTTCCTGGCAGACAGCAAAGGAATCTCTTATCTAGTGTGATCTCATCTGTCCTGACGGAAAAGATCTGTGCTAAGGAGGTCTCCTCTCTGGGGAGGTTTATAAAGCCAAGGGGTTCACTGCGTAGCTGCTCCGTTTGCAATAGGACTGCTCTGTGCGTGAAAAGCACCTATAAAGCTGACAAAGTGACCACTGTGTCATGATGAGCTTCTCATCCATGAAACAAAAGGAAAGGCTTAGCCACTTTCACCTCTCAGGACAACAATTCTGCATTATTTATGTGTGTCAGGCCTATAAAGTTCAGCACAGATGTGCAAGACTCTCTCTTGGCAAGAAATGGCATGTGAACAACCACTCTCCCTTTCAACTCTGCATGGCCTTCAGAAAACCAGATCATCCCAGCGTAGACTCAGCCAGGCAGGTAGGTTGTCCCATTCAGTGATGGCCCAAGCTACCTCTGCTTTTTTGAAGGTGTGTAACTGAGGCTCTTTCTTATCTGTGGTATTCGTCTTTCCTGCTGGTTCCTTTAACAACTTTCTCTAGCCTCTTCTGGCCTAATTCTGTATCTCCCAGGCATTGGTGCGATAGGGACAAGGACACAGAGCCACCGTCACGTTCATGCAAGGTGGTGCAGATATTTTCCCACTTCATCTTAATTTTTTGACTCATGTTTTCTTAGAAAGTATTCAACCAGCCCCACTTACAGGGCAGGAGGGATTGAATTCTTGTGTTTGGCTCTGGGTACTACCTGTCTGCAGGTCTGTCTCCTCCCTCTTCTCCCTCTGCAGCTTCTTTCTTCCCATGGTTTGTATCTGCCACCAGAGAGCAGGCTCTAAATCCTGATTTCGGAGAAGACAATGGGAAGCTTACTACGTGTCCTCAGTGAGGACACGTTTTGCACTCGCTGAATCACAGGATCCTACTGAGCAAGGATTGAAACTGGGGTCATCAGCAAGTGTGAAGAAATGGGTCATAATGATCTGAGCACTGTGGCTGCTCCCTTATGGGATATACAATGCGACAACAGATCCAATTCCTTTTCTTCCTCCAGTCTACCCGAAAGTGAAGAAGCCATATCACACTCATTAGTGTGCTGTATGTTCCCTGGGTCTCTGCCTGGCTGCTTAGACATGGACCTCCAAGGGACTTCTTTCTCTTCATGATTCATTTATCGTCAGTTTGGAGGTGGGGCTGGTTTTTAACATCTGTTTGTACAACGGGGCCCTATGCATTGGGCAATAATTTGGAGGCTTCTGGCTGCTGTTGTAATACACGTAATTAATGATAATAAAACTCTTCAAGATCTACTTGAGTGAAGATTTTGTACGAATTAATGAAGAGAATCAAATACATTACTATATGCCCATGTTCATTTTGTCAAAAAAAACCCCAAAACCAAAGCAAATGTAAGTATAGAAACATTCCTGGTTAAGCTTTTGTAACATTTTTTGTATGCAGAATTGTTTTAACAAAAAGTGCTTCCCTTCCCCAGTGTTCACTGCAACAGTGCACAAGTGCATCCACGCGTACACGTTGAACCAGACAGGAGCTCTCGTAGATCTGGTGTGGTAATGCTTTACTGCTGAGAACTGGGCACTCGTTCCACCTCACTCCTGAAGCCTCCTCCTGCACTGCATGTGTTTTTACAAGTCTTTCGGTTTGAGGAGTCACAACATGCATTACCCACAGTGACTATACTAGGTGCTCGTGCCACTTGAGGCCTGGAAAGGCATAGAATCATAGAATGGTTAGGATTGGAAGGGACCTTAAAGATCATCGAGTTCCAACCCCCTGCCATCAGCAGGGACACCTTCCACTAGACCAGGTTGCTCAAAGCCTCACCCAACCCGGCCTTAAACACTTCCAGGGAGGGGGCAACCACAACTTCTCTGGGGAACCTGTTCCAGTGTCTGACCACCCTCACAGTGAAGAACTTCTTCCTAATATCTAATCTAAACCTCCCCTCTTTCAGCTTAAATCCATTTCCCCTTGTTTTGTCATTAACTGCCCTTATGAAAAGTCCCTCCCCAGCTTTCTTGTAGGCCCCTTCAGGTACTGGAAGGCTGCTCTAAGATCTCCCTGGAGCCTTCTCTTTTCCAGGCTGAACAGCACCAACTCTCTCAGCCTGTCAAAGGCAGCAGTAATTCTGCATATAACCATGGGAAAACGAGAAGCTTAAGGGCACTGGCACAGCTCTTCTTATCCCCATGGAAAACAATATGGCACTGCAGATCGATACAGACAATGCCTGCTGTTAATCTGTGTGCTTTGCTACGTGTTCACACAGAGACTGGAAAACGTCCTGCAAGGCTTACAGCATACCTGGGAGTAGCAGCGCTAAAATGTCGTAATTTCTACTTGTCCATTCAAGTTCCTTTCCTTTTATCATCTTGGTTTAGTATCTGAGCAGCTGCAGCCCTGTGCTTATTATGAAACAGAACCCTGCTGAAGGACGTCTTTGCGCTAATCAGGTATTTAATAGAGCTACAGTTTTATCAGATCAGGTTTTTAACTGAAAAAATTAAATGATAAAATAAAAATTTTATCATTTAATCATCCATTCAAATTGGGCACTAGTGCTCCCCTCACTGCCACCACCCTTAAAAGCCATCTACAATGACTAGAGAATTCACTTCTGCCAGCACATGATACTGCACATGGTGAAATGGCTGCAAATTCTTCATGTGGAAAAGTTATTTCTGGAGTATGTAACATATATTATTAATAGATGCTTAATAACAGTCACTGGAAAATTGAAGTGTATTTGACCAAGCTGTCTGAGGTTTCTTGCAAGGAATGCTGAACCACTCCAAATCTTAGAAGCTAGTTTTCCAAACCTCCTCCTAAATGGCTGTTGCCCTTTTCAGACTATCAGGGATACTTGTGACCCAAAAGGCACGTGCTAGGGCAACCTCCCCACAGCCTGCCCAGGGCGCTGCTTTGCAGCACTCTCTCTTGGAGATGTGGGCACCACAGAGCTCTGCCTGGCAGCATCTGGCCTCTGAGGATTCCCACTCCCTGCCCCTCCCAAGATGCTAAATGCCAACGATTCACGTTCACCTTGGCTGAGTCGAGGTGGTAGCTCTGGAAAAATCAAACTGGCGATCTTGTGGCAGTCACAGTCACTGCTGAAGCAAGGGGCCTATGATCTCAGGTGCTGATGGGAATGAGTCCCATTTCAGACCAAAATATTGTCTTGAAACGTGTTTCTCCTCTCTGCCTCTTGCTTGGCGCTGTCCTGATTTCCAGAAGGAAGAGTGAGTTGTTACTATACAGTAAGTTATTTCTCCCAGAGCTCTGCCATACGAGTATACTTTACCTTTGTACCACGATATCAATCACCTTGTTGAGTGGGAAGATTGAAGCAGAAAACAGAACACATACAGGCAGCTCCTTAACATCCCAGTTTATTTAACTGGATTCCGTGGTAAAAGGTACTAATTTATGATTGCTGAGCTCATGTTAGCAAGATGTTGTAAGGGGCAAATAAAAAAAGCAGCATCCTCCCCAAATCCAGAGGAGGAATGCTGCTGTTTAAGTGG